CACAGAACTGAACATTTTTGAAAAATCCTACATGCTTCTTTAGTAATTGGTATGCACATGATAAAAATTTGTGTTATTTCCATCTAAGTCAAACCGTGTGACAGCAGGGAACACTGCGATCGTAATAAAGGTTCTGCGATGCGGCTGTAGCGTCGCCATTTGCAAAAAACTTAAATGAAAAAAGATACTCTTACATTCTTCAAGTGTAACAAAATAAAGCCCTCGTGAAAAGTTTTCGATCGAGTAAATTATTGTCTTAAAAAAAAAAGTGCCAAAGTTAGGTATCACCTTCATGGCTCAGAAGTGGTCTAACCTCTTAATTAGGCGTGAATTCGATGAAATTAACAAAGAAAGATTCAGCTGTATCTGCATTATGGAACGCAGAGGACGATTATTTATTCGATTTTCGTACATTTTCTTTGTTCCAGTGCCACCCTCTATTCTCACAAAAGAAACCAGCACAGACATGGTCGTTCGCGAGGGGTCGAACGTGACATTGACATGTAAAGCTTCTGGATATCCGGAGCCTTATATCATGTGGCGCAGAGAAGACGGCAAGAACATCAACTACAACGGAGTTAGCGGTGAGTTTCGATCGATTGTTCCTTTGTAACTCTTATTTGTACCCGAACATGACAACCGTACATTTCGGAAACCGAAAATGTCCTCGATATTCTGGAATTAGAAGCTCGATCGAACTCGTCGCGAAATTATCGAAATTTACGCGTATACTGTAAATTTTGAAAGTGACAAGCATTGATAATAGGATCGTTTGAAAGTTATTACGGCAGGAAAATATAGAACGAGATGAAATTGAAAAAAATAACGACGAATGATTAAATTTTCAATGAAATCAATAAAATGAGTGCGCGAATGTGTTATCATTATGTCACACACTGAGTGACAGATTTCGTTAATGAATCCATTGACATTTTCGTTAATTACGTCGGATATAATGATTCAGTCACGGGGAGTTGTTAATTTCACGCTTGGGATTGTTAATTTTCGTGATAAAGTGAGATCTAAATTCGAGCTGCAGAGTATATTGAGTAAATTAAGGGCAAATAATTTAATACCTCACCAAATCGCCTCTAAGTTGATCAAGTAACAATACCGGATGTCTTTTTCGTTTACGAAATATTTGTTTCGTGGTATGTAAGTGAACTTTCATTCGACAGCGAAATATATCAATCAAAATAGCTTAAAATAATATTTATCCTAAATTATGGGGGTGCAACATCCTGAGTCGTTCAGAAATAGGTAAAGTTTTGGAATTCTTTTCATAGGTAACCGCTAAATAAAGAGTTTCAATTTTTTCAAAGGATATAAATATAACTTTCAGCTATTTTCTTGAATTTTTAAAAAGTACAAATGTTGCAAATTGCAAAACCTCTATAATATAGCATAAGATTTTTCAAACATTGTAATTATCATAGAAATGGTGACAGTTTGAAAATGAAAAACCTCTTTTTGTAAAAGAAAATCAAATTTAAGCGTTTCTAAAAAATCAAATAATTGAGATACCGAAAAATCCTGAAATACATCTTTTTATAAATTAAACAGAATTCTCTATTTCTGACGTTCCAATTAAAAATTGGAGAAAAATGCTGACAGTTACGTTTATATCCTCTCAAAAAATTACAACTTCGTATTTAGTAGTTATCTATGAAAAAAATTCCCAAATTTTTACCTATTTTTAGAAGCCTCAAAGTGGTGTACCTCGTCAATAACAATTTTAATTCCAACTTACTTCTACAAAGAACGAATCTTACGGCAAGAAACTTGCTCCTCTATTGAAATTAATATTTTTTAACACCTTAAAACACGATATGTTGTAATAAAATCAGTTTACTCATTTGAAACGTGATTTCGAATTTTCACAACGCAAATTGGAATTAGACGTCAACCATACGGTTTCAATAATTGACTAATAAACGACGAGATGGTATGAACGATTCGGTCAATAAACGACTGACAGGCAATCAAAAATGTAATTATTCGCTCATACTTTATTATATTTGGTTCATATTGTAAAACTCTTGCGAATGTATTTAAGAGTTGAATTGTCGTGTCCGGATAGTTCTCAGTTCGATAATCGATAGTCGAACGGATATATGTAACAACGTAGCGATGGTTCACACACGATATCGTTTTTCCGGATGTAACAAAAAAAGGAAACGGCTAAAACGATTCTTCTTTTCTGTGTCAAATTTGCACAGAGTTTATATTCACTCCTCTGGCGTTCACGTCCGACATTCACCTATTTCACTAACTATATGTCCAAGAAGTGTCTTTAATGATGAGCGCGGCATGCGTGACGAAAAATGGTTAAAAAATTTTTTACAGAATTTCTAACAAAATTATACCTAAAATTACATTTGAACTTTTACGTTGAAAATTGCACATACGAGACATTTTTAATGGTGTATGGAAAAAAAGAAGCTTATTTTCCTCCTGAAGTGGATAAATATATTCAGTGATAAAGAAAAAAAAATATATAATTAGTATCAGTTTCGATAAAGTAAATTACGTTTCTTTTTTGGATAAATATGAACAAATACGATTATAATTAAAATGACAAGTGCAGTGACTTTAAATGTTTGCACGATTTTAAACGGTAATGTTAAAACACTTTACTAATCATTATTAAAAATTGATTCACCTTTAATTCTTGAATAATAAAATATCGGCAATGCATAAGCGTTCATTTTAACTGCACGTGAAATATTTAATATGTATTAACGAGACGGTTTATTGTATAATCTCGGAATAAATGAAAATCAAGGTAGAGCGATTAAAAATGGAAAGGCGATGCCCATTGCAAGTTGCGCATTTGGGAAAGTCATATTCATTTCATAAATTGGTATGAAAAATCGTGCGCATGCACGGAAAGATAATCATAGTCGAACTAAGTTCAACAAATAAACAATTTTAATAAAACAAATAAGCAAATGTTTGTAAAACCTTCAAAGTGATAACATTGCATTTGTTCAATGTCTTTTTAAATAAGTTTCTGAGGTCCTCTTCATCCTTTTCACGTGCAACGCGGTAACTTTTTTTGTCCATCAACTAGCAGGCATCAACGAGTTCAAAAACAAGCATTTCTTTTATCTAATGGAAAGACACGGCGATAAAAACGTTCCGGAGAAAAGCAACTTTGTACGAACTAAAGATTCGTTGAAATAAAAGATTCGAAGAGATTTTTAATAAGTAGTCGCTATCGCAGGAACTAGAAAAAATAATTGACTTAACGGAAATTAAGAATGAAGTATTTCACCCTTCCGTCGACAATTTTTCAATGCAAAAAGCACGATAATCTCAGCATAAACACATAATTCTAGTTCCGGAAAGAGCTACCGGTAAAACAACATGTGAAAATTTCAAAGCGATCGTTTGTTTATGTCAACATAGTTGTTTTTAAAATTTCACCGGTGAATCCGGACCGGAAATTTCACGGACCTTCGATACATCGCGATATCTGTTCTGAAAATAGCAGGACCGCTCGAGAGCACAGCCACCTCGACAGCGCGGTCATCTCGGGATCGATGCTAATTACTTTCTTAATTAGTAATTGTGTAGAGAGTGAGAAGCCCGACACTGCTCGAACTTTTTCCCCTCTCTGTCTCTTTCTCGTGTATGTACACGGACGTAGGCACGCCGGGGCCACACACACAGAGAAAGAACAGTTGGCAAAGATGTACAGGGTAACGGGACGTCAGACAGTCTGTCGGTTCCAAAGGATTTTCTCAATATCGGATAAAGGCCGGATTTAATTTCTGCTCTAATTTAAATTTTCATTGCCCTCGAGGTATACTCGGCTCAGACGATCAGAGAGAGGAGGCTTTTTCGAAGCTTGCGCCTCGCCCTAACTCCGCTGTATAAACTGTTACTGATAAATATGTATGCATCAAATCGTTGCGGCCCGGGTAAAAATGCTCGGTTGTATTATATCATCGTCTATTCAACGGTCATTAGTGAGACGCGAGGGATTAACGTAATTCGTAGGAAACGAGATACTATTGTTACGAAACTGTTTGTTGTTTTCTCATCGCGGAATGCGGTTTCATTTGAAAATTCGGCTACTTCAAACGCCAGGGTTACCTAAAGGCGCGTTCAATGTATGCAGAAATTTTGGATCGGATTGGAAAAGGTTATTAGGAATAGTAAAAGCATTCCCTGTTGCGTTTTATTTAAATATGTAGTAACAATTGGTAGAACAGTGACACGGTAAAAGCAATCCGTTAAAAGATTTACTTTATCCCTTGCTTCTTGTCTATTAAGAGATAGAAGAATGTATATATGTACGTATATACAGGGTGTCCAAGTTCTTTCCGATCAGATTTTTGAAACTTTGTCAGTGTATTCTATGGGTATAAGTGAGAAGAAAATGTTATATAAACATATGTCGTTTTCAACTTTGTTAAAAAGTTATAACAAAAATTCTATATAGCTTTCGATCATTTTAACATACAAATTTTAAACATTCTTGATAATTCGTTATAAATATTTCATCGGAATTATTTCTTAAAAAAAAATTTCTTTCCTACGTAAATATTTCCTATCAAATTCCTCAACATTTCTCTTTAATTAATCGTGTGTCCTTACTCCGCTATTTGTAAGTATCGATTCTTTAAGGTTAGGTCAGATTAGCTTCATGCTTCAATTGTTTTCTAACGGATATTAAAAATAAACATTCTTTCATTCCCCGCCTTCAAAATAAGTAAGAAGATAAAGTAAAGACAGGGAGAAAAGAAATCCTACATATATATCAAATATACATATTTATATAGGGTATCCCAGTTTTTTCCGATCAAACTTTCTCAGTATGTCCTACACTCAGTATGTACTAAAAATAGAAGAGGACGAAGTTTCGTTATTTTTTATACACAATGCGAAGGACTGAATAGATTTTTTAAATTTGCAATGGTTTTCGTGTAACGACGATACCGCGAATTTTTTTAAATTTCTAGCTATTATTGTTGATGTTACCGTATGCAATGGACTCATTTTCAGGCTCAATTTCGTATCAATGTCAGGTGTGGCATAATTAATGGTACACTATTAAGATCTTATTTATATGACGGCACTTCAAATGGGAATAGATATTTTAAAATGTTATCATATGTTCTCGTACTACAAAATTTTTTTTAAGGTCTCAATAATTTTGTAATGGCGGGAGGATAATTTATAGACTGGAGACTATTATAATAATATTAGAACACTATTTAGAACATTATAACTTCTTTCAAATTTGACCAACCGACTTGAGTTTCTTTGAGAAGTTACAAAGATTAGTTCACTAGATGACGTGTACAAAAAATTTGGAAAAAATTGCAATTTGCAGGAATCGCTAATATCTGTAAAACGTATTTTTTAAATTTTCATTACCGGCTGAGATAAAAAAAAAATTGTTAACTGTGTCCTTTACAATTTTCCTCACAAATTGCAAATTTTTCCAAATGTTTTCTATATACGTATATAATAAACTCATTTCACGGTTCCCGACTGATATCACACCCTCTTATTTATGCTCCATTGGTCTAACGAATAATCGATCGTCGAATCGTCGTTACTTTCAATTTGA